GATTTTCTTAATAACTGTGTTTTTGTATATCTTGACGACATCTTAATCTACTCCAGATCCCTCAGTGAACACCAGAGACACGTAAGAGCAGTACTCCAGAGACTCTTTGAGAACAAACTCTTTGTCAAAGCAGAAAAATGTGAGTTTCACGTCTCTACAGTTTCCTTTTTGGGCTTTATTTTCAAACAGGGCAAGATGTGTACCGACCCAGAAAAGACCAGAGCTGTTTCTGAGTGGTCTACCCCTTCCAACAGGAAACAACTACAACGTTTTCTAGGCTTTGCTAATTTTTACAGGAGATTCATCCGGGATTACAGCAAAGTGGCAGCCCCTCTGACTCAACTCACCTACTCCCTCCGTGCCTTCAATTGGACCCCTGAGGCAGACAGAGCATTCAGTGAGCTTAAACACGGTTCTCTTCTGCACCCATTCTTCATCACCCAGACCCAAACTCACAGTTCATCGTGGAGGTGGACGCCTCGGATCTGGGCGTTGGAGCAGTTCTCTCTCAAAGGAACCCCATGGACAATAAGGTACACCCTTGTGCTTTTTTCTCACGCCGTCTCTCCCCAGCAGAACAAAACTATGATGTAGGAAACCGGGAACTCCTTGCCATCAAGCTGGCTTTAGAAGAATGGAGACACTGGCTCGAGGGCACTGAGACTCCCTTCATCATCTGGACTGACCACAAGAACCTTGCTTACATCCAGAACGCCAAGAGATTAAATCCCAGGCAGGCCAGATGGGCTTTATTTTTCACACGCTTTAACTTCACTATCACTTACAGACCTGGATCTAAGAATGTCAGACCTGATGCCCTCTCACGCCGATTCTCACCCTCAGATGACCCATCCTCTGGTTCTCCTGTTCTCCCTTCCTCCTGTTTTGTAGGTACACTCGTCTGGGACCTTGAAAAGGATCTCCAGGATGACCAGCAAGCTGATCCCGGCCCCAGTACTATGCCCCCTGGAAAGAAATATGTCCCTGCCACTATGGTTAAGACAGTATTGGATTGGGTCCACAACCACCGCTTTACCTGCCACCCTGGAGTCAGCCGCATGCTGTCGTTCATCAAGAGGTATTTTTGGTGGTCCACATTAAACAAAGACATTACCGAATTCGTGTCTGCCTGTACTGTCTGTGCCCAGAACAAGAATAATAACCAACCACCCTCAGGACTCCTAAAACCTCTACCCACCCCCAGCCGCCCCTGGTCCCACATTGCTGTGGATTTCGTTACTGGTCTTCCCCCTTCTGACAGCAACACTACCATCCTCACCATTGTGGCAGATTCTCCAAGGCAGCCCATTTCATCCCCCTGGCGAAACTCCCAACTTCCTCCGAGACTGCCCAACTCATGGTCCAACATGTTTTCCGGCTGCATGGCATTCCCCAGGACATCGTCTCAGACAGAGGGCCGCAGTTTATATCTCAGGTCTGGAAGGCTTTCTGTGCGGCCCTAGGAGCTAAGGCCAGCCTCACCTCTGGGTACCACCCGCAGTCCAACGGTCAGGCAGAGAGGTGCAACCAGGAGCTCGAGACAGCCTTAAGGTGCATCATTAACAATAACCCATCATCATGGTCCACTTTTCTCCCATGGGTAGAATACGCTCATAACTGCCACACCTCCTCATCCACTGGTCTTTCTCCCTTCGAAGCTTCTCTTGGTTACTCACCCCCCTTGTTTCCTGATCTCGAGACTGAAATCCTGGTACCCTCCGTTCAACATCACCTGCATCGTTGCCGTAAGTATTGGACTCAGACCCGGGCAGCTCTCCAACGGTCCGCCCAACAGAATCGTCGCTTCGCCGACCGTCATCGCACCCCAGCTCCATCCTACAGCCCTGGTCAGATGGTTTGGCTCTCCACCAAGGACATTCACCTCCGTGATACCCCCAAGAAACTAGCTCCACGGTTCATTGGCCCATATCCCATCCTCCAAGTTATTAACCCCTCTGCCGTTCGCCTCAAGCCACCCCCCCCGGCTATGAGGATTCACCCTACTTTTCACGTGTCCCAGATCAAATCCATCACTTCTAACTCTTTTTCCCCTCCAGCCAGTTCTCCCCCGCCACCCCGCCTCATCGACAATCAACCCGCCTACACTGTAAGACGACTCCTCGATGTGAGGCGCAGGGGTCGTGGGTTCCAGTACCTCGTGGACTGGGAGGGTTATGGCCCTGAAGAGAGGTCATGGGTCCCCAGGTCCGCCATCTTGGACCCTTCTTTAATCTCTTCCTTTTACAGAGCTCACCCGGACAAGAGACCCAGATCGCCTGGAGGCGATTCCTGAGGAGGGGGTACTGAAGCATTTGGTGAGTTTCTCACCCACCTCCTCCTGTTTCACCTCTCCTCATGAGTTAATTGGCAGACAGCAGAGCACAACTGTGACTGATCTCACCTGACGACCTGACCTGCTACTTAAGGCTCCAGTCTTCAGCAGGTCAACGCTGAATCGTCACGTACTTTGGG